TCCCTAATTTTCCCATCTATTGTTAGTAGATGACTTTATCTTATTTTCAAGAACTGATGGAAAGTCTGTTAAGACAATTAAATCTGTCCTAGAAGGGTTTATGAAGGAATCAGGATAAAAAGTTAATGTGGAGAAATCACGGACCATCTTCTCCAACAAAACAAAAGTGGACCAAAGGGAATGGATTATAAACTACCTTAACATCAAAAGTACCAAGGACTTTGGAAAGTACCTTGGCTTCCCCATGCATAATAAACAGGTAAGGAAGCAAGATTTCAACTTCATCATAGAGAAGAATGCTTAGATTGCAGGTTGAAAATCAAACCTGCGCTCCCCCACGGGTTGCATGACCCTCATACATTTCACCATGGATGCTCTCCCAACTTACTACATGTAATGTAGGACCCTACCCGTGGCTACCTTCTCCGAACTTAACAAAATTAACAGGAGATTCCTATGGGGTGGGGGTGGAAATAAAAGGAAGCTTCACAGGATAAGTTGGGAGGAAGTAATTAAAGACAAGGAGGAAGGACGACTGGGCTTAAAATCGAGTAAAGCTAGAAATCAAGCTCTACTCGATGTTGGAGGATGATGCACAATCAGGATGACTTATGGGTTAAAATCCTCCCGGGTAAATATCTTCAAAATGAAATAGCAGACCTAATAAAACAGATATGTCAAGCGTTTGGAAGCCCCCTCAAAGCTGCCATCAGTTGTTAAGAAAAGGAATTAGATGGAGTATTCAAGATGGCTCCAAAACTAGGTTCTGGGATGATAATTGGACCGGCCAGGGAAATATCAAATCCGTCATTGAAGGACCTCTCCAACGTGATGAGGAGGGAATGACAATTAAGGAATTCAAGGAGAAGATGGACTCTCATGATCAACAAATCACATCTTTAGCTTTTCTACTGAGATTGTTCAGCATATCTTTAGCGTCCCTTTTTGCAAAGATCATGAAGAAACTGTAAATCACTCGCTGGCTGAGTGCCTTGTGATTAAACCAGTTTGGTCCTCCCTTAATCATCCGATTCAATCAAGTTTGAACAGCAACATCGATTAGGAAAAGTGGATTAGAGCCAACATTACAACTAAGACATGGCCAACATTACAAATAAGACATGGCTGCCTAGAAGTTTGGTTCCATGGAATAATGTGTTTCTTTGGGAGATATGGAATCAAGAAATCTATTGATCTTTAAAGGAAAAGTAATGAACAACAGAATTACAGAGCAACCTGTGGAAAGAGTAATCGAGCACAACGCCTTGACTGGAAAAGTTAAAATGATCCCTTACCCTACCACCACTACTATTCAATGGAAACCATCTGCTGCAGGTTAGATTAAACTCAACACAAATGGTTCTTCCCAAGCAAAGCAAGAGCAGAAATGATTCTTAGAAATCAGGAGGGAGTATGGATAAAGGGCTCCTCCAGACACATACCTAAAACCACGAGTGTTGAAGCTGAATTATAGGCTCTTCGTGATGGACTCAAACTGGCAAAAGAGATGGATATCACGAAGCTGGAATTCGAGTTGGATGCTACTATGGTGATCAAATTAATTTTTGATAACAATGTTGCTAACTTTCAGCTTAACACCCTCATTTCTTATTGCAGAACTCTGTTGAAGATGTTTCAGCAAACTACGATGAAACATATTTTCCGTGAAGGCAACAGGTGTGCCGATGCCCTGACAAGATTTAGTAGTGATGATAACAACTTTGCCATGGGAGATATGTTTGATGGCTCTTATTTGTTACATTTAATGAGGCTCCTGAATGTATTTCCCCTATTTTATTAGCTGAGACTAATGGGTTACTGTGTACTGAACCTCGGTTTAATTTATGAACGCTTACTTTTCGGATAAAAAAATTAGGTTATGAAACTTTTAGGTCTAAGTTCAACTCCTATCAATTATAGTTTGGTCGAATCACATGTTAGTTTGTTGATTGTTGATCTAGTTAATTTATTGATTTTTTCTTATTGATTGGAGGTCTCAAAAATCTTAGATTTTAGGCTTCAAGTCTCATCTAGGGTTGATAAAAAAATTGAAAAAATCAAAAATTAATTCGAAATTATAGTATTATGTTCAGTTCTGATAATTTTTTTATTTAGTTCAAATTAAATTCGAATATTAAATGTATAAATTAGGTTTGAATCGAATTTTGGATAAAAAATTAAAAAAACAAAAGAAAACCGAAACGAATTGAATTATATATATTTATTAATTTTTATATATGTTTTAAATTTTTATAAAATAAAAATAATTATTTTGTATCAAAATCTATTTAAATATATTAAACATTTATAATAAAATAGTCTATAAAACTAAAAAAACTAAATTTCAAAAAACGATAAATCAAATTGAACCAATAAAATTTTTTTTGTTTGGATCAAATTGTATGCAAAGTCAATTCGGATTTTGATTAAATTTTAAAATTTTAAAATATTATACAATATTCAAAAAAATCGAACTAAATTCAATTTAATCTAAATCATTAACACCCCTATTCATATGTCAGTCATGTTCAATTATTTATTGGTTTGCCGTTTATTCATTTGACTTATTTTTTATGCATATTACAATATTTGAATATAGTTTTATTTTTTATTTAAATATATAAAAAATTATCAAACTCTAAAATTCTAAGCATATGAATTTTGGAATAGTTCTTTTTTTTTTTTTGTTATTTAGTGAGTTCTTTAATTTCACTAATATATATAAATATTTTTTTTTGAATTGGTCCAAGTAGTGTTATCTATGTTGATTTTAATGAATTCATAAAAAATTATTATTTTTTCAAAGCTTTTCAATGATTTTAACCCAAACAACAAAAAGAGAAACACACCCTATTCACCATTTCAGTCGACCTTTCATTAATAGCTTATTTTAGCCCTTTTTTGTTATATAAAAGTGGGAAGAAAAAATTAAAATAAAAAAGTTACCATTATGTATGCAAAACTATATATATCTAAACTGTACGTGAATTTGGTTCAATTTTATATTAAATTTATTTGTTGGATTATTCAATAATTTCTTTTATATATATAATAGTGATTATAACTTCTTAAGTACTTATAATTTCATTAAAGAAAATCATTATTTCAAAAAGTTTTATTAAAACATAAATAATGAGGATATATGGATGCCTTTAGTATACAAAATTATTATAAGATAGAATAAAATGATAATAGGATTAGATTAAATAATGTTATCTTATATTTGATGTGTACAAAGATTATGATAAGATAATTTATTTATTGATCAAAATTATTTTTTTTAAATTTATATATTTTAAATTATTAATATAAATTTTAAGGGTATAATAAAATATGTAAGTTCAATATTATTGATTAAAAATAATATTTTTCACTTTGAGATGATCGAATTATTCTATACCACGAGTAAGATTAATCATCAATGTAATTCCATCTCTTTCTTTAGATGCAAAAAAAAAAAAAAAAAGATAATTATCATCCTATCGTATCAATCATTTTATGCACCAAATATGACCTATATGTATTATATTAAATATATGGTAGTCATGTATAAATATATTATAAAAATTCATTGTTTTCAATTTGATAATTCAATTTTTTTTTTATAAATGAAGTAAATCTTTTATGTAATTTAAAAATTTTGTATGATAAACTCCGTTGTTTTTTTTTTAGAAAAAATTGAGTTGAGTGTAAGATATTTATTTCATTTTACTTTAACTTCTAATTAAACTAACCCTAAGCTGATAAGAAAATGTTTCGTGAATTTTGACTATATAATTTACATAAATTTGAAAGCAATTATTTAAATAATTTTGTCTCCACTAACGTAAAATTTTGCATCCGTCATGATTATGATATGTGTGCGACATATGTAATTTAAAATCTATAAATATTTGATTTAAAGATTAATAATTTTTTATTTAAAGAATTGAATAGAGTTCAAATTCATTTATCATTAAAAAATAGTAATAAAAAGAAAAAACAATTAGCGTATTGAAAAGTGTAAATCTTTTGTAGATGGATAGATTTGCAAAGGTCTTGACCCAAAGACTAGATTAAGGCAAACAAGTCTGTTTTATTGGAGGAATAGTTTTAACTTTTACATACATTGAAGATTTTATCTTAATTTATTGTTGTAATCAAGTGTGGGATTGCATGTAAATCCATGCTTCCCATGCTTTTCTTTTCCACTCCGTGAATATATAAATACTTTTAATGAGGTGAGATTAGCCATGGCTCATGGACTGACTATTTCGATGTTTATAGTTGAAATCTTGGGACCATCCATAATTTTCCATTGAGATTGGAGAGTAAGCATATATATCCCCCAGCCCATAACTTTATTCTTGCAGGCTAGTGAATGCTAGCTCCTCCAACAACCTCCTCCATTTTTCTGCTATGATTAGCCATGCGAAAAAGGGTTTGCTTTATGTATGATTTTGCGATTTCAGTATCAATTGGCTACCACATGAAATTTTGCTTTTTATTTTAGGTTCAGGGGCAAAAAAATTAAGTGCTTTGTATGACCTTGAATTTCATATTTGTACCAGGGACAACGTGTTAGGTAATGCTTGCAGTGCATATATACCTACCGATGGTGGGTCACTTGGGTGAAATTAATTTCATTCTCCTAACTACTTTTTACCGTAATTAACATTGGAAAAAAATTCTTGTGCATAATTCCCTGACTAGCTCTTATGTCATGCTAATTAATTTCTTTCAGAAAGAAAATTTAGTTAGGTTACTCTTTTATTTCATGTTAATCAATGTTGCAGGAATCTGATTGATTGATTTATTTTAGCATGTTAAATGTTATAAGCAAGGCAATCAAAACAAGACAACAAACTGCCAAAGCTGGATAATGACTTGTACTTTATTTTAATGGCGGTGAGATCATCACATCATTTATCATTTTATCATTCACTTTGTCTTTTGTTTTGATGGAACATCACCCTTTGTTTTTCTCAATCCATACTGATTGAATTTAGCCTTGTCAATTCCATTTTAAGGGAAAAAGCATATAAATCAAGTCTTTTGAAATTAACCGAATATAGAATGGCAAAATTTAAATGGAACCATAAGCTAATTTTTCAAATGAAAACTACAAGGATTTCATTTATTTTGATAAACTGCATTACAAAAGGGAAACAAACCCATGAACTAGCTCATTTGCCACTACTATAAGGGCATAATTTAGAAACCAACCCTCAGTTGAAAGCAACAAAAAAAGAAAAAGAAAAAAACACTGGAGAGAGATTTATACACAGACAGAACAATGTGCTGTGTACTCATGTAGCCTGTCTTCATCAAGCTTCCACGATTTACCGATCCAAACCATTTATTTATATAAATGGTATCCATCTCAACTTTGAAACATGAAGGCAGCATGACGACTTCTATGCGGAGGAGTAACTGCGAATTGTCAGCTTTCCGGCAGGCCACACCATAACAAAAATAACAAATACATGCATGAAATCTTTGTTGAAGTTTCAGACATTTCATCAGATTCAAAAGGGGAGTGACCCCAAGACGGCAAAGCCTGCATTCATTGGTAATTTATACTCAGTTAATCTTTAGTTCCATAATATTTGAATTGATTTATACAAGCTGTTTAAAACATGTACTTACTTGATTATCAAGCTCTTAAGATTGAGTCGATAGGGATTTTGGTTCCCGAGTTTGTGATATTTACCTGGTCTGAGGTGAAAAAAGGGGGAAACAAATAAAAAGCGTTAGAAGAAGTAATAGTGAAAGTGATGAATAGTTCTGAATCAGCGAATATGGAAATTAATTAATCCTTACTTGGAGGTGTTTTGGATACAAAAAAGCAAGCTCCAATAACAATGTAGAGCAGTAGAAGAACCAGTCCTTTCATGTAGTGAGAAGTACCATCCTACAAAACATAATAATACAAGGTTTTAGCTCAACTTATGGTCAATAATGAACCCCAGAAATGAAAATGTTATTTGCATGATTGATATGAAGATTGCACTGTTAATTACTTGTAAAGTGAAGGCAACAGCAATAATTGTTAGAGCGAGAGAGCCAGTTTCAAGGAGATTGAAGTTAAGATCCATCTTAATACCCATAATCCAAGCGACAACCACGCAGAGTGGGACCTGAGTCACATTGAAATGTTGATTTTTGATGTCAGAAGCTCCAATTTAAAAAACTGAAGTCTCCAATTATTATAAGTTCATACCACAAACATGGAAATCTGAGTTGCAGATCCTAATGCAACACCCAAAGAAATATCCTGCATTTCAGTTCCAAAATTAAAATTTCTGTCAGCATATTGTTTTATTGATAAATATGGCTGCTGAAACTAAAGGGCAATTAAGAAAGCTATTACTCACCAGCTTGTTTTTAAAAGCAAATATGATTGCTCCTGCATGTTCTGCTGCATTTCCAACAATGGGTAGTAAAATAATGCTGATGAAGCTGACAGAAATTCCCCAAGAATCCGAGGCATCCTGAAATTATAGTTTGTGATAGTTTAGTTGATTTTACATTAAAGAAAAATAACCAGACTTTGATTAATGATAATCAATCAAAGAGAAATTGAAAAAAGAATAGGGTTGGACCCCTCTCTTGCCCGCTGCAAACTGCGCAAGGTAGGTACACTTTAGTCTAGTAAATGCCTGCCACCTTGGAACAATTCATGGTCAACTTGAAAAAGTTGGTATGATGTGTGGCTAATAATACAAAGAAATTAATACGCTTCAAGGGTCTGGAGGGGGTCCAGAATCAACTTTTGGATAGCCAGCAAGGGTAGGTAGAAAAATTAATGCTGAAGATATATAGTGAACCCCACAATGAAAATGATGGAAATTACCTCAATTGTTTGTACAACATATTCAGATAGCAGAGAGATTACAGCAGTCATTCCAACTAGCCATATAAATCCACTCCAAAATCCAATTACTGGTGCTTCTTCTGATAGTCCATCTTCGTCATCTTCTGATTCCTGATCAATTGCACCTTATCAGCTATGGTTTTAGAATATTAGTTTCATCCTTTCTCCAGTTCACAAAAAATATAATAGTAGAAACTGGCTTTTAGAAGCTAATTAATTAAGAATATTGATTGAACTACCTCTTGAGTTTCAAACAATTGCCGGTGTGTGAATAGTTGGAAGAGCAGGTATGCAAGGTATGCAATCAACATTATAATGCTGCTGGCTCTCGACAACTGCAGTGTTGGATCGGCTTTGACAGCAGCAGATGCCCCAGCCATTCGAAACAACAATGGCAGCGAATGGCACAATAATGCTAGCAGTAGAAGGAGAGAGTTCACATCGGCTTGTCTCTGTCAAATTTAACAGTGTTTAACACACGAAATTACTCGTAACTCTTGATCCAGATAAATTACGGCATGGAAAGAGAGGAGACAACATTATTGAAAGACATAACTATATATCTAACAAAATATTAAACAACTCCAGCTATGTCATGAAATAACTAATTTTTGGTGGTGTCATGTTAAAAATTTTAAACAAAGTGAAGCTTGATTTATGTATGATATTGCATGTAATTACGTTTGACAAGTAACTTACTCTATCATATTTTTGTTCCTCTCTCAGGTTGGCAATACCGCCACAGAAGAGAGAGGTCCCAAGAACCAAAAGCAGGTTTGATAGGACAGAACCAAGTAGGGAATACTTGACCACATCTATTTTATATTGGCTTAATGCAAAAATTGCAATGATCAGCTCAGTAGCATTGCCACAGGTTGCATTCAACAGCCCTCCCACTGCAAGATCAAAGAATAATTAAAAAATTCCACGATTCCACAAACCTTTCATATTTTTCACACAAGTATAGTTAAATTTTAATGTTATTTTAAAAATATCAGACGTCTGAAATAGTCAAACTCAACAAAGTATTAGGTCAAGAGATTATATTAATAATGATGATTACTCTAAATCTAATCGCTTCTTTCGTGAATCATCACCATTAATCAAGAAAAAGACACAAATGAGCAGAAAAAATTGTACTTCTCAAGGTGTCATTATCTAACAAGGATATTGCTCCGAACACTCACACGGAGGATATAAGAAACAGCATTGCAAGTGTTGTGTGTTCTTCACTTGGGATTCATGCTAGGTTTAGACCCACGTGTCAAAGTTATAGAAATAAAGTTGATACGACCGATGCTAAAGTACCCAACCTTGGAAACTTTATTAAAATAGCAGTAGCCGCTAGCTGGTTTTATTATATATATAGTAAGTAAATAAGAGGGAATAAGTACCATGTATGGATAGATATTAATAAAAAAAATTAAAATAAAAAATAGTATATGTATTTTTTATTTAAATAATTAAAATTAATAAAAAATCTTAACAATTATTAATTGAATAAATAATAAAAAAAGAAATAATTTATTATAATATTTTTTTAATTATAATTTTTTTATAAAATAACATACAATATATAAATATATTTTTATATTATCTAATTTGTATAAACAAATTTTTTTAAATAAAATTGAACATATTTAATATTATAAGATATATTGATTAATTATTAATTTACTTTTAATTTTGTGTTTAATTTAACATTTTAATTTATTCTAACAATAATTTGATTTATTTTATTGTTAAGACTTGAAAAATTATAAAATATTTATAAACTATGATATTATATAAAATACTCATAAAAAAATTATCTTTATAAAATATATCAATTATATAATCATATTTAATATCATAATAAAAATATAAATATAATAGCCTTTTCATAAAAATAAAATTTTTTTAACTTTGTTTCTTTAATTTTTTTTCTCAAATTGAGATATTAAAAAAATAAAAATTACAAAAAAAAAATTAAAAATTATTGGATTTTTATTTTTTTTTAAATTAAAAATTTATCTGAACAAAAAAAAAAATTTTATTTCTATTACTTTTTTTTTTTCGTCCCTTTCTCTCAGTCCCCTTTCTCTCAATCCAAACATAGTGTAAATAATTGATTACCTGTTGGACCAGTGTAATAAGCAATCTGCCTGCAAGTACATAGAAAAGAAAAGAACAGGAATTATTTGTCAAATTCAACTCTAGAAAAAAAAAAATGAAATTACGTATCATATGAGAATTTATAAGAACAAATATAAATCTGCCTTACTCGGTGAGAAAGCTAACTCGTTCAGCCAGTGGTATAAGTCCAAGTAAACTTAATGAAAAAACCCATGGCTGTAAATTTCCAGGAAAATCATAAATGTTAATACTACGATCGAGAAACAGCATTAAATATATTGTTCTCAGTGGAAATTAAATTAGAGGTTGAAGACACATCAAAATAAAAGACGTTTGATACATAGGGAATGATGAAAGGTAATGGTGAATACATTTTGACGCAGTCAAAAACATGATTAATATCATTGCTTAAATGAGATTAATAGATTAGGGTATAGTTTAATTTTTACAGTCCAATTAACATTTCCTTGTTTGACTTTTCTATATCTGAAAATTGTTGTTTCAGTAGAAAATCTCGTAGACTATCTTATTTCCAAATAAAGTCAAATTGAATTCAATTCAATTCTGAGTCAACCTTCAATATTCGTCTTCACCACTGCCGAAATCACTGTATTATCAAAAACCCTAAAAACCAACAGTCACAAGACGATGAAAAAAGCAAAGGAAAAAATTTTAAAAAAAATGAAGAAACTCACTCTTGCAAACCCATAGCAGTCAGCAACAACAGCAAATGGAATAGCAGGGAAAAGAACTGAGAGTTTAGTCCCTAAAATGACCTCTTGAAGATTGGTCAGAAACTGCCTAAGCATTCCATATCGAACCTTGGTAAGAAGCGTCAGGTCCGATTTTTTCCTCAATGACGAGGACGACATGTTTTGTGCAGTCCTGCCATGGCGAATCTCCTTGCTGGAACCCTTCAAGTTTCCATTCTCCAGTAGCAATGGTTCCTGCAAAGAAGCCATCTTTTCCTGCCACGCTCAAACACCAAATATTTTCCAAGGCAAAAATACCCAACAAAAAACAATAAAATCTCAAAATCTATCTCGATGAGCTCGAGGGAATGATACATACTGTTATAAATATATGTAAATTATTAGACAAAGGCGCAACTTCCACGAAGCTTCTTAAAAAAAAAAAAAAAATTTGGGGTTCTTAATAAGGTAAGCCACGTGGGCTAGGATAAATAATTCTCTAATTTTGGGATTGTCAAAATAAAAAAAAATGAATGTTTTAATTGGATTTCTATATGTTTCATATATATTAATTGTACACTAGTAGTTTGTCCGTGCTATGATACGAGATTTGTTTATTTTGTTTTATTTTTTTAATATAAATCTAACATATAAATTAAGAGAAAAATAAAAAAATTTTATGTATGAAATCTCGTCTTCAATATAAATTCAAATGTAAATATAATGACAGAATTTAGTTTATAATTTGAAACACTCCAAAAATATTAAAATGACTATATTCTAAAAATAAACAAAATAGCATATGTAAAAAAAAATAAAAAAATAAAAAATATTTATTGTCACTCTCAATAGTGTAATCATTGCTCCTTGCACATAATCTCTATCATACATGTAATTTTCATATGTAAAGTTAGATAAAAATTATACAAATATCGATTTAAATCACTTGATCAATCTAAAGATCAACGATAAAAATTTTGAATTCGACTTTAAATAGAAAACATAAAATTAATATCATTTCATATATAAATACTAATTCATGTGTAAATTAAAATGGTTAACACAAAATAACAAAATAAACTAAACACTTATTTTAAATTAGACTTCTCAAATAAACTAAAATCCTGGGAAGGTTTCTCTTTTACATGAAATTAACGATATAACCGAGGAGGAAAAAGAGATAAATTTAGGGGGAAAAAAACTCTACTTCTAATGGCATATTGTTTGGGATCTACATGCATTGTAGTTTTGAACTTTTGGTAGGCGTTTCGGATGAGGCCAATTAGGAGAGCATGTATAAGAAATTTTAAATTCCACAACACCCATAGTCCATAAAGAAAGGAAGGAAACAAATAGCCATATGTAGATTCTCTTAAGAGAACCTTCATTTCATAGTAAAAGATCTATCAACTTCAACTATTAAATACTTAGCATAACATGAAACATTTATTCTCACAGATTTCATTTCCAAGCCTTTCTTATCACTATATAATACTGACAAACTCAATATGAATAAACAGAGAGAATGAAAAAAAAAAAAAAAAAAGGCCATGACAAATAATACATCAATAGTACATTATGACAACAAAAAAAATTTTTTGAAAAGGTAAAATCCAAAATTGAACTTACATCATGATAAATTTTTAACTTGGGTGTCCAATTTTGACCTCCAATTTTACAAATCCTTATAGGAAAAAGATTCTCAAATTATATAACCTAAAATATGAAAAAATGTAAAAATTAAAGAAAAGAGTTATATTTTCCATGATTACCTATTTCAACCTTTGAATTCTACTGAGTAGTTTAGCTTTTGATTCATTTAATTCCTAAAACGTAGACAAAATTGAAAGCTAGAAACTTAAATGAATCAAATCAAACACATTTTTTGTTAGAATAAAAGAAGTAAATGATAAATTAAACATAATAAAAAAGTCCAAAACTTAATGCAATTTTTGAACTGATCAAGTGTGGATCTTTAAAGCTAAAAATGGAACTTAGGTTCTAATTGACAACATCAGAAGCAAAATCTTCAATTGATAAAACAATGCAAGTTGTGACAAAGTTGCCTTAGTGGGTACATATGATAGGAATCAAATCATAGCCTGAGTTGATCGAGTGAGGATAAGTGTTGTAACGATTTTGAAGCCATTAGATAAATTAAAAAAAAAAGAGTCACCTCAATCTTTTTTTACTAGGTATGATTGGCCGTTTATTAAAATTTATTTTTTTAATAAAATTTTAAAATTAATTAAAATTTATTAAAAACAATTTTATAGTTTACAAAATAGTTTGGTTTGAGAGTTCGATTACGTATGAGAAAATATTAGTACCTCCACAGTACCTGTTAACAAATGTATCAATTAATTACGTGTTCTCCTTTAATTGTGACAAAAATGTCTTATTTTGGTATTTAAAAATAATTTCTTTGACTCTTTTTATTTGTAATAATTTTTTTTGTTATTTAATTTTATTTGAGAAATATAAACTAGAACTTTATTATAGAAAAACTTTCAAAATATCCCCGTACATTGGTAACACTGAAAGAATTTTTTTTCACCTAAGGATTTATTAGGCATCGTTATTCGAATTACCTTAAAATCTCATCACTGTAGGCTCATGTTTACTTTTAAAAAATCCAGTGATATGCATGCAATGCAAATAAGGAAATATCGGTACACATTTTTTATTTACCCCTTTTTTAGAAAATTTTTTTATTATTTAAAAAAAATTCTTTAGAAGAAAAAATTTTTTTTTTGTATTGAAAGTTTTTAGAAATATTATAATACGCTAGTAGTATTTAAAAAAAAAACTTTTCACCTAGAGATTTCTTAGATATTACTACTCGAATTACTTTAAAATTTCATCATTGGATAAAAATTTCCTTTTTCACAAGTTTTTATTATTTTTATTCATTTTATTTTATTAAAAAATGATGAAATTTAAAATTACCAAAAATTTAATTATTTTATATATTTTTTAATTTTAATAAGTAAATGAAAACATTTTTATATTGAATATATTTTTAAATACTCCAATACTTTGGTAGCATTTTTTTAGAAAAATATTCTCACTTAAAAATTTTTAAAGAATCATTAATCGAATTTTTTTAATATCTCATCATCGGATAAATTTTTATTTTTTATATTTATTTATTTATTTATTATTTTTAAAATAAAACTCTTAACACTTATTTATATTTATTTAAAAATTTAGAATTTAAACATGCATAAATAAATCCATAAATGACTTAACAAAATATAAATATATATAATAAAGAAAAGTTAAAAAAAAATTACTTAAATAGACTAGTTAAAGTCAGTCAACGGTTTAGTAGTAGTCCAAACCAATTTCAATGGTTCGTTAGGTTGGTTCAATTGCAAAAACTGATTTGAATGGCTCGATTGCTTTGGTCGATTCACAGGCAGTCTGGTAAAGCAATTTAATTGGATCGATCCAAGGTTAATGAAAGAAGGTAGAAGCTAGGTAGGGTGCATGAACCTTGAGTCAGGTCAGGTCTACATACGGGTTGGTCGGTAAGTTTTTTTTTTCTTTTTTTTTTTTACGTTAGCTCTTTTTTTTTAAACTTCATTTTTGCCTCTTTTCTAAAACAAAAAAAACTTTAAAGCTCTAAAAAAAAGGGGCCCATTCAAACTTTAAACCTAGATTTTTGTTTCGAATGTCATGCTAATCACTTTACCTCGTCGTTGGCTACCATTCATCGGTGCTAGTTTGATTTCAAAATTCACCCATGTTCTCCTTTCAACCTTTTCATTTTTGTTCTGACCTCTTTTTAACCTAAAATAACTTTGAATTGCATAGAACGGTGCCAAAATGTCACAGCTTCCAAAACCTAAAATCTTTTCCTCTGGCCACCCAAACACCAGTAGCTTTCAATATATTTCCCCCAGCATCCTAGGCTTCTTTTTCCCTAAAAAACAAGGCTAAAAACTTCCTCAAACCCTTAAAGACCAAAAATATCAATTTGGTATTTATGAAAATTTTTTGTTGTTTTTTTTTTTTTTTGTTATAGTTCCCCAAAAGGGATGAAGATTATTTTTTGATGTTGTATTTTTTAGTTTTGGTGAAGGAAAGTTTAGATTGAATCAAGGTTTGGCAGCGAGTTTGGAACTAAGTAATGGTGGTGGTTTTAGGAGGCTGAGTTTCTAATAATTAACAGCGGTGTGGTAGTGGAGTTTTTTTTTTTTTTTGACAAAGTGTTCTCAATTCAAAAATTGGCCTTTCCTATGTTAAAAATTTATTAGTCTTGAGAAGGCTTTTAGAAACACAGGAAAAACTGATGAAACCTGTAAAAGTCTTATGGGTAAGATAAAGCTTTGTTGGCAGCTAAAATTTAGTTGTTATGGTGTTGTCAAAGGTGGTAGGGTGGCTTAGTAGGGGTTGTCTGAGGTGGTAGGGTGGCTAGGCACTGGTGAAGGCCCATCGATGCCAATACAAAGGTGTAAGGTAGTTTGGTCTAGGTGGTGTTGTGTAAGGCACCAAGCTATAGTTTTTTTTTTCCTTTTTTGTGTTAATTTTTAATTGAAAAGAAAAAGTTTTGAATTTGGCTCTTTTCAATTTGGTTTATGAGCCTTCAAGCCCAAATGGCCTATTTTAAACTTTTAATCTCGAATGACCTATGTAATAGGCCCGTATGGTCAAATCCAATCATGGCTTAAACGGTTTAAAATGGACTCAAATCGAACATAAAAATTGTAATTGATTTTAATTAACTCAGGCAAAATTAAGTGTTTACAATAAACTACATACTTTTTTCAAAGCCAGATCTTAATGTAGAAAGGCAGTCTTGACTTCGGCCTTGAGCTTGAAGCGGATCAATTCCTTTGTATCGAGGGACTGGCGATTGTGGTGTCTTCGCATCCCCGTAGCGGTGAAGCTCTCTCTTGTTCTGGTTGAAAGTGAAGGCGAAGGAGAGTGAAGTGAATCGGTCCCGTCTACAGAGCATGCCACTATGCTTGACACATGCAATTGCTTTCTTGAACCGACTTTTACGAAAATCTTTGTTCCTCTTCAATAATCATTTGCATAAATAATTAAAACCCAATAATCAATAAATTCAACCCAAAAATCTACAACTCCGAAAATCCAAACCATTGAAAGAAAAAAGAATAAGGACTAATAAAACCTCCTAATTTAAAGCTCAGATATGAGTTAAAAATTAAGATCAAATCATTATGAAAATGAAAAAAAATTAGAGAGTGAGAGAAAGAGAAAACATGAAGGACAAAAAAGATGATGGAAAGAAAAAAAAAAGATGAAACATGAATGGAAAAGTTTTTAGAGCACCTTTAGTATTTTTTTTCCCATATTTGCCCTCAAATTTT